GCTATTTTAAGAGTGGTTTCTTATTGTGTGAAAGAATTCAGTAAATTATTTTAAAATGATCTGGTCTTGATCATTTAGCTCATTTAATTGTTTTAGGACTTTTAGGATTTTTCCTTTTCTGTCAGTTTTGGTAAATTGTATTTTTCTAGAAATTTATCCATTTGGTTTTTAATTTTTTGGTATAAGTATTTCACACTGCTTTCTATCTTTTTAACTTCTGTTAGATCTGTGGTTATCTGTGCTTCAGATTATCTTTTGTGTCTTTTAGGAAGGCAGTTGTTGATGTTGCTTAGTCTTACCAGATGTTTGTCTGTTTTATTTTTTTTCAGACAACCTGCTGTTCCTTTTGTTGATTATCTCTGTTGTACCTCATTTTCTTTTCTTTTTCTTTCTTTTTTTTTCTTTTTTCTTTTTTTTTTTTAGTACTGGGGATCAAACTTGGGACCTTGTGCTTGCAAGGGAGGCAACAGAAGCACTGAGATAAATCCCCAGCCCCCTTGTTTTCTATTTCACTGTTTCATACACAAAAACATAATATTCATTTTTTTTTTTTGGTATCAGGAATCGAACTCAGGACCTTGCACTTGCAACACAGGCGCAGGGACCACTGAGCTAAATCCCCGGCCTCATCGTATTCATTTTATTCTAATCTTGGAGCTTATTCTTTGCTTTTTCTTTTGTGTTCTTTTAAAATTATTATTTTTATTTGGAAGCAGATTTATTGGACTCCACAATCCACAGGTATTGAACTAATTTCCAAAGCAACTATTCAGTAGAAAATACAATCTCACAACCCTGATTAAATCATGGAAAATACAATAAGTGGTGGTATGGGACTTTCATAACCACTGGGATGAAGTGAAATTTAGAAATTATACTCTGTTTTTTCTTTTTCCTTTATTGCTGCTCATGTTTCTGTTTATTCAAATTGTAGTTTATCTTAAGCTTGGAAACATAAGCTCTCACATCCCAGGACTATTTCTTCAAGTTTCTCTTAGTTTGTATGCCTCAATTTGTCTTCACACACTGCAGTAAATCAGTACATCTTTTTAATATTTCTAGCCCTGAGCAGGAATTTTATGGTACTGATAGATTTTCCTCCAACTTATTAGTTTGAAAATTTTCCAGTGTACAAGGAGTTGAAAGAATAGTACAATTCCCCAGCAGAAATAGTTTCATCTTTTCAGGAAACTCGTTCCCTAACTGGCCACAAATCATTTGCCCTTTCATTTCTTTTCCAGATAGCAGAGCAGGGCTTGTTTCCATCATTTTGAAAGCATGACATGCTCTCGCCCATATGCAAATCTATATTCCTAGCAAATTTTCCAGGATAGATTTAAGATGTGCCAAAGGCAGTATTCCAATTGTAAATATTTGGAAAGTTCTAGCCCATTTATTTTTGTGTCGCTTATTAACTTCCAAAACAGTGCACATCTCTCTCCCACACACCCAGATTTTACTCATTCAGCCTGTCTGTGCTTATCCACTTAAGTTCCCGCACTTTGCTCACTCTGGTTTTTGTGTTAAGGAAAGTCCTTGTCATCAGCATGTTTTCAGGACTCTCTGTGTGCTGTCCACTGCTCTACACGGTGGTGACACAGTGGTGACTAGTGTCTTGGCTTCTGTGGAGCTCACACTCCAGCAGAACAGAACATAGATCACACTGATGAGGCCAGGGAAGCACCCAAGGGAAGATGGTCTGAGAACTTCCTACTACTCTGAAGTCCCTCCAGTGGGGCAGTCTGTTTGGGAGATACCCAGAGGCCACCTCTCATTTAGACGTTAGGGGGAGCTAGTCATGGTTCTGAAAAGGCTCTGGAGACCAGGTGAAGCAGGTGCAGCTTGGCAGGAAGTGAGCCCTGGAAGGAAATGGTGCTGGGAGGGAGGCGTACCAGCTTTGCTAACAGCTTCCCTCTGCCGGTGCTTGTCCTGGCCAGTGCTGCCTCTCCTCATTCTCTAGGGGAGCCCACAACTGTCACCCTCATGCTCTCAGTGTAAGAACTGCAAAGAGGTGCTGAGTGTTGAAGAAAGTCAAGATTCTACCCTGCACTTGAATGTGCAATTTCCATATTGTATTGTGAATATTTTCAAACATTCAGCAAAGTTGAAAAGACTTTGCCGCAAGCATTCATGTGCTCATCTCTTGTGCATAAACACATTACGGTTCTTGCAATATCATTGTTGCACACATACAGCCATGTGTCACTTGAGGACAAGGCTTAGTTCTGAGAGACGAGTCATCAGGCAGTGTTGCCATCGTGTGAACATTCTAAAGTGTGGTTACATGAACTTGGACAGTGTCGGTCAGTCACTCAGGAAATGCAGGAAGTGTCTGAAGCTTCTGCTGGCAAAACACAGCATCTCATGTAAGAGTAAACTTTTCATAACTTGTTTTTAGAGCACACTCTAAAATCATGATAAAAGTATACTATGGTAAATATATAAGACAGTAACATAGCCATCTGTATATTATCCATTGCTATGTATTTTACATATTTGTATGTTGTTACCCTTTTATAAGATGGGCAGCACAGGAAATTTATTTATACCAATGTCACCACAAACCCATGAGCAATGTGTTGTGCTACAACCTTATGATGACTATGATGTCTCTAGATGACAGAAATATGTCAGCTTTGTTATAATCTTATGGGACCATCATTATATAGGTAATTCATTGCTGACTGAAATGTTATTACACAGCACACAACTGTATATCCATGCATCAATCCTTTAACTTACTCCACTACAGATTAGACTTTTCTCTTCTAGAATTTTATATAAATGGAACATACAGTCTGTTCCCTTTTGTGGATAGCTCAATAACTTACTGTAATGCATTTTGAGAGTCAGTTATAGTGTCATATATATTAGTTTGTTCCTTTGTATGAGTGAGTAATATTTTATTTTATGGATATCCTGGGATTTATTTTCCTTCTCTTATGATGGATAGACACCTGGGATGCTTCCAATTTTTCACTCCAATGAGCACAATGGCTGTGTACATTCTGACATAACTTTTTTGTGAGGATTTGTTTTTATTTCTCTTTGGCAAATAGTAAGCATGGAATTACTAGGTCTTAGCAATGTGTTTCTTTAGTTTTATAAGAAACTGGGAACTTTTTCCAAAGTGCTTTACATCTTACACTTCTACCAGCAAGTACAAAAGTTTTTCATTCTCCATATCCTTGGCAATATTTGATGCCAATGCATTTAATTTTAGTCATTCAGGTGAATATCTAGTGCATTTGTATTTAATTTAAACTTTATTTAAATATAGAGTCATTTTGACCTTCTTATAAAACACAAGTGATGAGGAGGTGGAAACCTTTAGTTATATTTCTATTTTTAAGGAATCCTCACAGTTTTCTACCCTGGTTGAGTTCCCAGGGCTATCTCTGTGGCCAGGGCTGGCGTGGGACTCAGGGTGAGTGGGAGTGATCTCTCCTATAGCACATGGAGTTCACACCCACAAGTAGACGGACACTGATTACAGATGTCCCAAGATACGAAGGAGGTTTCCAGTGACCACATTCACAGCCACCAGGTCTCACAGAAACAGCCCCTGGAATGACTAAAACATACTTTTCAATAAACTATGAAAGTTCTTTATGCTTTTTGTTAAATAGATTAAAACAAAAACTCACCCTTCCAAAGCCCAAATTCAGAATAAGCACTGTTAGATGGTCATTCAGATTTCCAGGTAATTGGCTTGTAAATAACCTCCCATTTGCCTTGCCTGTCTAAATGAATGGCAATTATTAATTTAGCTCTTGATAATCTCAAAAATGCTGTATAAAAATGCCTTGAAAGTGCTTCTTTTTTGGTGTGGTATTTCTCAATGTTATTTTTAATTTTTATTTTTATGAGAACATGCTTTAGTAGATTCATAATGATTGTGGGGAGTTGGCTCATGTACATAACACATCTTAATTCTTTTTTATCCTCTCCCCCTCTCTCCCTTCTGAAAGTTTCTCTCTTGCCTCTGATTATCAATAACAGGTTTTTAACATTTAGTAAATTGGAATCTAAACATTTGGGTTTATAATTTACCTCTCTAGGATGTGGGTCTGCTATGGGAAACCCTGAGTATGAACTGACCCTTTATCTTTTTATCTAGGTAATCTAAAGGTTCATGGAGGAGAGGCACAAAATTAGCCCAACAGAGAGAGTTACATGAGAAAAGGCCCATGCAGTGGACTAATTTGAGTCAGTTTGTGCTTAAGTCTCTTAACTCCCCTGTGCCTTAGTTCCCCCATTTGCCGAATGGGGAAGGTGGAGATTACTACCTGCTGAAGAAAGTTTCCATCTCCACGGCATCTTACACTGTGCTTGTCCACAGCCTTCCACACCATCTCTTCCCTCAAATCTGGTGCCCCTAAGACAAAACCTGAGCTCGGCTGTATTCTGCCTGTGTGACCTTGAGAAGGTTACAGAATCTTTCAGAGCACAGTTTCTGGATAATTACAGTATCTGCATCCTACAATTACTGAGAATATTGAATAACTCATAGCAAGTTTTTATCACAGCTCCTGATATATAATGTATCTAATAAATATTATCCACTGACAAATACTTTGTGACATTTACACTTGGTAATTAATATTTGGTTGTAACAGTTATTCAACAGTGGTTGAGTACATCGCTAAAGACTCACTTGATGGGAATTATATAGCTGTTAAGAAAGAAAGAATTTATGAAATATTGAAAATTACTTATAATACAACATTCAGTGAAAAAAGCAAGAAAACAAATGATCTCTCTACCACAAGAAAACATATGTACAATAAACTTGAACCAAGCATTCACACAAAAAAAAAAACCAACTGAAAAGAAGCACACGTACAGCCAATGAGAGATGGAATGGGTAGGATATGACTCTCTGCAATACTTTTCTGAGAAGAAAATTTTTTTTGAAAAAACAAATCCCCTGTATTTCTCTCTAATGAAATTTTCTGGTGAAGTCAAAATATTGATGGTAGTCAGTGTTTTCCCTTCAGTTTCTTGGCATTGAACATGGATACAGTCAGTGACCTTACCTTTCTGTTGAAAGCAGTGAATTTTCCTGAAAGAGTTCTTCAGGGGGGCTTAGTGGACAGAATTTATCATAAGGTAAAAATATATGGTGTTATATTTTTTTCCCTTTTGACATGTGTTTTGGGTATATCCTTGCCGATGAACTATCTGCTAAATTTAGTAGAGAATGAGTCAGCTTAATTACGAGCTTCTAGACATGGCCAGCATCGCTTTAGGCCACATTGCAGGACAGCCTTGCTTGTGTTGGCAGCCAGCACATTCCTGTTTAACCCACTTTATGTCATCTTTTGGAATTCCACTCACCAGCATCATCATTTGGCTGCCATGAGAAGTGACAAGTGGAGTGATTTTTTTTTTTAACCCTTACCAGAATTGAAATATCTTTGTTCTAGTTCTGTAACAAATACATTGTTCTCTGGTGGGAAAAAGTGCATCTGGCATATGTGAAAATTAACACTGTGTTAGGCTGAAATACACTCTATTTCCTATTAAAATAACTGTGAATCTCTGCAAAAACCTAAGACTTTGCATTAGCATTGATGGAAAGCTAGAGGGGATATCCACCAAGGGCAGTACCTCTGAAGTAGGTTTGAGGAAAAACCACCCCCAACCCATGAATATCTGTTTTCTCTACTGATCCAACATAAAGAGCCACCAACAACCCAGGAAAAGCTTTACTCATTCTACTCCCTTGCTCAGGGCTCAGGGCTGCCAAAACAAGGACCCAGGCTGCTGCTTTCCCTCTGCATGGGAGTTAGGTGTCCTGCAACTCTCCCCTCCTGTTAGTCTCTTTTCATATCAATTATAGTTGCGTCTTCCAGTAAAACACAAAGGGGGTAAAAAGAAGTGGGTCCAGGAAATATGGAAACAAGTATTCTTTTAGGAAATGTTCTGGAGGCAGAAGAGCCCTGGAAATAAGAAGTTAAGACATTTCTCTGTGCAACAGAGCCACACTGGTAAGACTGTGCCAGAAGCTGAGCCAGGGGTTATACAAATCAGTTCATCGTCCAAGGTTAGAGCTGAGATGAGGCTCATCTCATCAGACCACAAGAGCACATTCAGGTGGATTCAGTCACCTGTTTACCCTGATCTTATCAAACATGCAGCCAGCTAAAGTAGGGGAGGGATATAAGCCAAGATGAAAGTTCTACCTTGCACTAGAGAGCAGAATAAACAACAGAGAAAATACATTTTGTGAACAAGCCTTCCAAGACTATAAAAGAAAAAGATAAAGATAAAATTGCAAGGGAAGAAAATAAACACAGTAGAAATGGTAGAAATAAAACCTATAGATAGCAAATATTTCTGAAAATGCCACAAATAATAACCACAGACATAATAGAAAAAATATTTTCTTGAGTATAAGAATTTTCATAGTAATGAGAAAAGGAACCATACTTCTACATAGCCTAAAAATTTAGAATAAAGAAATATCCTGCAAGCAAACAGAAAATAATAGTTAAGCCACAGAGATAAAGAAGTTAGGATAGTTCCACTCTTTATCCACTAGCTCCATATGAATTAATGCTCTTCTAAAGAGGAAGCTTCAAGGTCTACTCATACTACTCTAAGCCAAATTCAATTCATAAAAATAGTTAATGAAACATATTTACAGAATTAGAAGCAATTTCACTTCTCTGAAAAATTATTCAAACACCTACTACATAGGACATTAAAATAATTAAAATTAATAAGACAAAAAATAAGGAAATCAAACTAAAAAAGGATTGGTTGTCCCTGTGAAGCCAAGATCTGTGTGTTTTTAAAAAGAATTATAAAATTAAATAGAAAAGCTAAAAATGTTTTTTGAAATGAATATGAGTTTTTAAGAAGCTGGCTAACTGGTTCTATAATATATTGGGCCTATACTATTTTTTAAAGGTAAGATGAAGAGTAAAGTAAAAATATCTTTTGTTCTGAATTTGACAATTAGAGAAGTGTGGGTTATAATATATATTTCATTAAATTAAAAGCTAACTTGAGGACTGAACACAGGATGCTTGTTTTCCAAATCACTGCAGAAAATTAAGCAAAGATAATAAGTAAGCAGGCAGAAGTTTGTGTATCAGACGTAGAGCAAAGAACAAGTCAGAAGATGTGTTCTTGGAGGTCACTCAGGTATATCTATTCTCAGACTGAGAGAGCTGTCTTAAAAATTCCCACTGCCAATCGCTCTTTAGTTTGAGAATATCGCCAAGATTCTCCTCTAAATCTGCTTCCAGTAAGTGTGATCCTGCCTTTGTCTCTAACTTGGCTCAGTTCAGGACTCCTCTCCCTGGCTCCCTATTTTCAAAGATTAGTGCTTTGAACTTGAGTTACACTGATCTGGTAATTCCTTGAAAACAACCTTCCATTACATGTGACCTTTTGATTCAGTCCACAGCAAACCATGGAGAGGCAGCTTCTGATACATTTCTATTCTGGAAGGGTATAAATCCCTCCAGCTCCCACCACTGGAAATAGGGGATTAGATTTAAAATAGGTAACAATATGAAATGAAGGAGGTGTCAGTCCTCCTAGTAAAAATGTTGACTGTCAGATTAGGTTAGAAACAAATATAAGCATATGTGGTTTGAATAGAAATAAATTTAATTACTATATATATGTTGATCTATAAGTATATATATTATATGTATATAAACAAAAATTATTTTTTAAAAGTTTTAAAAGAAGGTGAGTAGGTACATACTAGGAATAGCAAGATATTTTCACATCTCTTTCACAAAGTTGATATATTATTAGCTCAGACTGCCATAACAAAATACCACAGATTAAGTGCCATAAACAACTGAAATTGTTTTCTCCTAGTTCTGGGGGCTGGAAGTCCAAGATCAAAGTGATAGCAGGGTTGCTTTCCCCTGAGGCCTTTCCTGGCTTGCAGATTGCTGCCCTATTGCAGCCTTTCATGGCAGTTCCTCTGTGCCTTTGTGCCCATGGTGTCTCTTCTTATAAAAGCTCCAGTAATTCTGGATCAAGGCTCAGTCTAATTACCTCATCTTAACTTTTTTATGTCCACAAAGACCCTATTTTCAAGGAAAGCCATATGCAGAAGTACTAGAGCTTAGTATTTCAACATATCTTTTTGGAAGGTACAACTCAACCCATAGCAAAAAAAGAAGGCTAAAATATTTTTTCAAAGCAAAAATATAATTTAGGGTACACTCTGAAATTGTGGTCTAAAGATAAAGCCCAAGATAAAACTGCAAAACCCTTTAAGAACTGAGAAAGGTCAATGCTGGGTTTTCAGTCAGGAAAAAGGCCCTTTGAAGAGATTAAGGGTATGCTTCACAGACCCTCTTAACCAAGCTACAGAGCTTTTATGAAGACAAAGGACATTGTCCTTAAGCCTGCTCCACACTCCAAGGGTCAAATGTCAGAGATTTGTGGGTGTGACTCTCGTCTAATTGAGCCTCCAAAAGATTTATAGAAGGTGCACCAAGCTTTTAAAAAAATTATATCAGACAAGCAACTTTCAGCTTGTGCTACAAGACACTGAGACAATACAAAGCAAATAGAGCCTTTGGGCCACCAAGCTTCCACAACCAGAAAACAGACTGAGACAAACACCCAGCCACAAACACATACTGCCTTTCATGAAAAAGGAAGGACACCTCAGAGGGAAAACCCAAGCGCTTAGGGAGTGGAGCCAAGAGCCTGGAAGAATAATGATGCCTGGGTACTGTCAGGCCTGAGTCCTGGTCGAGGAACTTCCCACACTAGCCCACTTGAGTTTCAGAATTGCTATGGATCAGTAACACCTGTGCTCTTCCAGTTTTACTCCTTTTTGAGTAAGAATCTATGTACATTTATCCCATCCTGCCCTGCTATTTCGTATTGGCCATGTAGACAACAGATAACTTGTCCCTTTAGTTAGTGTTCAAGGCAAGAGAATGCATAGGGATGGTGTCTGGGAGCCTTACCTGCACCTGGGCTGGGTGTGGATGATGCGATGTAGGATTTTGAGCCAATGCTGTACAATGGGATGAAACCTTTACAGGAAAGTGTGAGTGTGTTTAGGAAGAACATTAATCATTGGGAGCCTGAGAATGGACTGTAATAGCTGGGGTCCAGGATGTGATCCTGCCTCCTGGTGGTAACACCCTTATGTAGTCTTGACATTGTACCAAGGCCTGTGTAACAGATAGACCACTTCAGAAGTGGTGGCATCTCTCCCCTGAGACTGGGTTATAAGTGACCCTGCTGTGGCTGGTACCTTAATGTCCCTCTTTTCCCCTCTGTCCCCCCTCTCTCCCTTTCTCCTTCACCCTTCTTTCATCTCTCTGTCTTTCACAATTCAGTCTAGGGGAAATCATGTCATAAGTACACCATGTGGCTTCTCACCGAAAGCTTTATAAATGAACTTGGAAATGCTTCTTCCAGCCCTAATAAAATCTCCAGAAATGGCAATGACTGGTACTGTCAACACCTAGATTGCAGTCTCATGAGAACACTTGAGCAGAAGCATCCAACCAAGGCATTCGCAGATTCCCAGCCCTAGAGACTGTGTGAGATAATGAGAGTCTTTTTAAGATGACAAATTTGGAGATACAGTTACCTGTTACACAGCCATGGATAATTAATAGAGCGTCTGAAACCAAAAATAGTCAGCAGTTTTTGCAAGGATATACATATTTAAGCAAAATGTAAAGGGGGTAGTTTTTAGACTTTCAATTCTGAAGACAGTATTTTGAAAAACTGGAGAAGTAAGCTTCCAAGGTACTACATGGGACCATCACCCTCCTTGGCCACTGGCAGACCAAAGGGCATTTCCTAGCCCCAATCTGAGTGAAATCTGGCTACTCCAAGAAGGGACAATACATTATCAGGGGATTTCAAAGGCTTGTTCTCTCATGGGGACCCAGTTTTCCAAAATCATGTTGCAAATAGCTGCTCATCATGGCTGCCTTGTCAATTCCCCATAGTGGGGAGATGGGGCAGGGTGGGGATAAACCAGTGGCTTGTCACATTGAGAGTATTCTGTTGGGCACTTCTGTCATTCTGTGGAGAAAAATCTGTAGTAAAAAAGATCATCAGTAATCAGTATATTTAACAAATGACTGCTTATTTTTTAATGT